ATCTTATGAGGCTCATTTCCTTCAAAAATCATTTTCTTTAGGAGAAAGAATTAGCAGCCTAAAGCAAACACTCTTCTTATATGCACACTGGTCCCTTGTCTCACACACGTGCTTACACAAATGTATGAGCAATCACTCTCACCTCCATGTGCTGCCATGTGTCAGTTCCCAGCGCACACTGTGTGCAAAAACTTCCTGGCATTGCTTGTCATAGAGTCATAGAATCACCAAGGTTGGAAAAGACCTCCAAGACCATCCAGTCCACCCATCCACCTACCACCAGTAATTCCCCACTGCACCATGTCCCTTAGTAGCCCATCTAAGCATTTCTTGAAGACCTCCAGGTCAGTGACTCCACCACCTCCCTGACCAGCCCATTCCACTGCTTGACCACTCTTTTAAAAAGAGAATAAATTTTTCCTAGTATCCAACCTGAACCTCCCCTGCTGCAACTTGAGGCCATTCCCTCTCATCATATTGCTAGTTGTGCAGAAGAGACGTATCAGTATATTTACCCTCTGTGTGGAAACCGGTACATTCAGTTGCATGATATTCCTAATTTACAATCAGTGGGGTTTCTAAAAATGATGGGGAATGACTTGTCTCAACATCTGCTGAAGGTGACAGGCTCGCCTGCACTTCTGCACACGAAGATCTACAAGATTAATGCCATTGGTTTCAAAGGACGAGCACAAAAGCACGAGGAGCCTGTGCTAGGGATTGGATAGAAGAATTGGGTCCAAAATTATTTACAGGGGACATCTGAACTCAAGAAACGTAGAAAACCTTTTGCACGACAAAAACGACTGACCTCAGAATAATTTACCTTTGCACACTGCCACATTTCCCAAGTCCTGTTGCTGGGCCTTTCTTATTTCACATTTGAATGTCAGCAGGTCAAAAGGAACAGTTAATGCTGATGAATATTTCCCCCTCAGCAAAGATATGTGCTGGCCAGCCCAAGGCCAATGAATCGCAATTTCTAAACAGCATCCCATTTATCTCTCCTCTCCCTCTCCCTCCCCTGCTTGCTTTTATATTTTCGTAACTATAATTGTAGTTAAATTAGAAATAACTGACGGGCAAATCCAGTCAGATGGAAAGAAAATTGTGGGAGATTTATTTTATTTTGATAAAAACCTGACGTTGCCTTTTGTTTTTGTCAAAAAAAAAAAAAAACCAAAAAAAACACAAAACAACCCCCCCAAAAACTACTGTATTTTTCCTTGTACCATGAATTGTGAGATCTATCATGAAACGGGTAAAAAATTATTGAAGGAAATGGTGGTGTTAACCTGAAGGGGAAAATCATTAATGTTGATGTATTTCATTCGATTTTAAATGTAGAATTTATTTCATTTTATTTTATTTATTTGGCGTTGGGGAACTGGGGAAAAGGCAGGAGACTTGCAAAGGACTCTATGTGCCTTTAAGTCAAAACATCTATTTTAAAAGCACTCTTCCCTCCTTCCCTCCCGCTCCATTTTTCTAAATAAAGGATATGAGATGTTGTTGTTGTTGGCTGGTTTTTTTTTTTTGTTTTGTTTTTTTTCCTAAGCAAAGAGGACCCCCTCGGCACATTTTTCTTTTCAAATGTGAAATGAGGTGGAAAATCCTCATTTCACGACAGGAAGGACAAATATTGACACAAAGTTAATATTTGTCAGGAGCCCTAGAAGCAACCTGAGTGCTCAAATCTCATATAGATATATATGTTTGTGTGTGGCCATGTGTGCGTGCATGTTATATCTATAATTAAATAGTAATGTTGGTTTGATGGTAAGGGAATCTGCGGAAAGCAAAGGCACAGATGCTTTCTGTCTCCTATTTCTCTCTTTCATGCACTAAGCAGGGCACACAACGTCTCCTCTATCTTCCCACCCATTCCTAGGGTCTCCAGTTGACTCATAGAATGAATCAGAGAACGGCCTGGGTTGAAAAGGACCACGACAACCATCTAGATTCAACCCCCCTGCTGTGTGACTCACTGATTCCTCTTGTTTTCCCCCCATTTTTTTTCCATCTCTAACATAAGTGCAAACGCACACGCGTGCACAAATAGAACCCGTTTAATCAGATTTCACCCCATTTACGAACGAGGGGAGCTTCTGGAATTTATCACTGTTATTGCTCATTGCCAATGTAAATAGCACATGTCAGCTCAATGTTCGGTGGTCACTCAGTATTTATTAAGCCCTGTCCACCCTGGCCTTTTTTAGAGGAAAGCCCTGGGGCGGATTAGCTGCTGGCCCTGACGCACCGTGTCGCTTATCTGTTCACATTGATTATGAGAGTCAGCTGTGGCCAGGCCTCACTTTTTCCCTCTCCTCTCAGGCCCCTCTTACAAGCACCCCTGCTTGGATTTTCATGAGGAAATAATCAGATTAGGGCTTCAGCGGCGAGTTCATATGGAGTTCTCTTTCTCCAATGTGCTACTAACTGAATAAACGTGTTTTGTGGTAAATTGCAAATGACATTATGATTACTAAGGCCAGCATGGGTTTCATTTAAAAGTGATCAAAATTGCAGGCTGCAGAAATTGTGAGTGGCAGATAAGGCCGTTTGGAAGGAGACGAGCAGCAGTGCGTGTGCATGCATGGGCGTGCAGGGAGGCGAGCAAAGCTGCGTGGCAAGGCAAAGGGAAGTCCTAGGAAATCACAAAATATTGGCAGGTCTCGTGTCTCTGGAGGGAGATGGAGTGACTTGAACATTTCCAGCAGAGCAAATGAGATCTGCCAACCTTTGGGGCTGGCTGCGTGCTGCAGGGCGAACAAAGATGCTGCTCCCTCTCCCTTTGCCCCTAGCAGACACCTATTGCAAAACAGTCCTTCTGGTACAGCTAGAAAGGGAAAGATAAAGCTAAGAAAAAGGGAGAAAAGGGAGAACAACAAGGTGGTGTCTGAAAATAGAGTGTTTTTTCTATAGATCTTGTCTCACTGGGACCTCCTTCCTGAGCAGCCTGTGACATCTGTGTAATTTCGCTGTTTTCCTCTGTGACGAATGGAGTGAGAAATGCTCTTTGAGTCTGCACATGCGGAATCCCCTTGAAATAAGTCATAGGTAAATGTCCATGGGATTCCAGGAGCCAGCCTGCTTTCTCCAAGCTCCTCTCTTTTCCAGCAGCCTGTCATTTTCTTCTAGCAATGACTTTCCCAGTCGTGATGTCGTGCCTCTAAAAGGGCACAAATGCCCTTCTATTCATTCAGAACTTTGTGGCTCTCACGAATGTCTCTCTCTTTATCATTAATACTAAACATTGCTGATCTGTATACACGTCCCCAGGACTACTGAACAAGGAGCTCAGTAAGTTTAGACATTGGCTGAGATTTGCCTAATGCACTCACAAGCACAGCTAACTAGGGGAGAGCAGGCTTGGGAGGAAAGGAGGATTATAGCTGGCTATGGCAGCAAATTCCTCCTTTGATTTTGTTTTGAAGGAAGGAAGGAAAAACAGAAACACACATCTTTTCCTACGATGCTTCGGGCAGAAGTGTTTATGTTGTTGGTGCCTGTATTTGAACTCATTTACTTTTATTCTCTCTTTATAATCAGTGATGATCTCATCACTGTGGCCTGAGGCACAATTTCTCCCATGTTAAAGCAGAGACTTACATTTGATCAGATGGAACGTATCCTAACTCAGAGGACTGCATGGACTATATCTCCTCTGCACAGATCCATAAAAGGGTTCTAATGACTCCTCTCCTCAGACACTTAGAAAGGGATTGGCTTGCAGATTCTGGAATATGTGGAAGTGTCTTAGCTCCTGTTGCATTTCATGAAAAATGTTCACATGAAGTATTCCCTAAAGTTGCTTTTGCATTCCCATGGGTCATACTTATAGGTATAGCTACCCTAAGAGGTCCGAATGACTTAGAGCAATTGTCCTTCTGTCATACTTACTCCTTCAACAGTGGATGTAATTAATTGTCTAGAATGAACAGGGCAAATATGTGTAAGGCACTCTGAAAGTAATGCCTCTTATTTGTTTCCGTGGAAACTACAACAGATGCAGAGAGCACAATAGCACTGTTTGATAGAGCAAGTTCTCAGCTACAAAACACAGTTTTTCAACAAAGTCACCACCATTAGCTGTGTATTTTCAGTAGTGATGAACTAGAATCCACGTGCCTTGCTCATAAAAATCTGCACAAGTGGAGATGATCCACTGTTCCACAGCTATTATGATAGCGTTGTTGCTAGGAAGATGTTGCCCAGGCAGTCCATTTTTCTTCAGCCTGAACAGATGGAAGTTAGGGTATGCAAAATGCAGACTTGACTGTGGGTGTAGTAGGATGGGCCAGCCAAGATGGGCTACGTGGTCCGTGGTCTTCAGACTGTCATTGGGGCTGTAAGAGAAAGGTTGTCTTCTCTGGCCTGACTCTGAAAGTTCAAGTTTTCAGCTTATCCAGCATCATAATGTAGCTATCAGAGTTGATGGTTTGTCTGGGTTCCAGGAAATCCAGAAGGATCAAACCCATTTTCTATCCCAAAGACAGTGCATATCACTTTACCTACTGAGATCTGTGTCTTGAACATTTTCTTCAATGAGGAATTCACATGTTGCCAGTCCATGGACCTCTGTTTTGACTCTGACTCATAGTAGTGACACCACGTCTTGTCACTGCCCCTCTGCTGCCATGTGTCACATGGCAACAACATGTAATAGCATATTGCTGGGAAGGTTCCACCTCTACTGTCATCCCACCAACATCGATAAGCATCATAAAAAAGAAGGCATTACTTTCAGAGCAGCCCATGTACTACCAATTCTCAACTATTTTCAGGTTAAGGTCTTCTTCAGGTAGATGTAGTTTCCATCTGTTTAATACCAATAGCGTCCAGACCTCTCAAAACTAGTTAGAATTTTAGCACCTGCAAAAGTGACTTTGAGCACCAAATGGGAAAATATGCAGCAGTAGCACAAACTGTTGAGATGACATCTGATACTTTTTTTTTTCTTTCCCCACCTCTGCTTGTCCTTCCAGGAATTTACAGAGATGACAGCAAGTGTGTCTTCAAGCCCTCAGTACAAGGCTACTTCTGCAAACAGGCAGACTATGCATTTGTCATCCTGGAAAATTTAGACACCAGCATGGTCAAGCAAGAGCTGTTTCCAGTAGTAGCAGTGACTGGCAGCTTTATGGATACCTTCAGTGACGGAGCTTCAGATGCATCGTGTCGTTCTGCACAGCACCCTTCTGCTCTCTTCTCTGTACTGCCAACCACCAGACTCACAACAGTTTGTTTCCCAGACCTAACGCCTCTGATTTTCAGACTCTACCTCCTCAGTGGGCAGAACTCAACCAGACTGCCCCTTGCTATTTTCTACAACGAACCCCTCAGCCTTCGTGTCTTCACTGAAGGGAAATATATCTCTCCAACTCCATCTTCCTTCTCGTGGAATGAAGGGGCAGGAACCAATTATTTTAGCTTTGAGGACAATCTTCTCTATGTCCTTCTTCATGAAGAGGAGCCTGTAGAAATAGTCACTGGCCTTTCTCTTCATGTGGCTTTCACTGTGACTGAGACCACTGGGGAAGAGGGTGAGGCAAATATCATGCATCAATTGGCTGATTTCTTGCAGGTTGGTCATGATCAAGTCAGAATAGTCTATCGAGTGCCAGGAGGTGAAAGCATGTTGGAAGTCATCTCAGACAATGCTAGCAAAAAGAAATATCACTGCCCCAACATGACGTTTTGCACGACCTTTCATAGCAGATCTGGATCATGGGGACGAGGGAGAGCAGCAGTAAATGCTCGAGTTGTGCAGTCGTCTGATGCAGCTGGTCCATCAAAAGTGCTGATTTTTGAATTTGGTGATCCACCAGGCCACCAAATAAATGAGTTCCAGCGTTCCTTAACAATTGACAGTTTAAAGATCCTGGCTAGTGCAGTTATCAATGCTCATCAGACTGGAGACCTTCAGACAGTCCTGGGCTTACCGGTTGATACTATAATGGTGAATCAGCCTGACTTACTGTTCTCAGGAAGAGATAATAGGAGGTAAGTGTTCTCCTGCAGTATCCTAAAAAAAATGTTGATGCTGATTAAAGTGGATTGAGTGAATCAAATCACTTGACCTGCTTAATAAGACACAGAGTAAGTTCCCCATTTACTGAAATATGACTGAGGTAAAGCACATTAAAAAGTTTCCCAAACAGAGCTGTGGTGAAGTATTAACTAAAATCCTGACTCTGATCTAGCCAAATTATCATGACATTTTCTCGGTGCTCATGGATGTCTATGTAGTACAAAGCTGTTCATGATATTTTAATCCAGGAATGGATTTTATGCAAGTCTGCCATGAAATTATAAAGTAGTAGGTAAACTCAGTGATTTTTAAGAGTTCAAACTACTGAAGCCCTTAACTTCTTAATAATGAAATCTATGAGTGTTTATAAATGTGCTGTGGTAGACAGGTTATTGCCCTAAATCACTCTCAGGCCTAAACCTTAGAATCATAGAATCACCAAGGTTGGAAAAGACCTCTACAAGATCATCCAGTCCAACTGTTTACCTGTCACCAATAGTTCTCACTACACCTTGTCTCTCAATACAACGTCCAAACGTTTCTTGAACACCTCCACCGTCAGTGACTCCACCACTTCCCTGCACAGCCCATTTCAGCCCATCCCAGTGCCTGACCACCTTGATTCGTATGCTTTAATACGTAAAGCCAGAAGAAAAAAAAAAATTGCATTTTCTAAGTACTGTACATACATATTTTCATACATAATACATAAAGTGCATGGAAGATGAGTTTCTGATGCAGGTGGTGAAGGAGACAACGAAGAGAGGTGTGCTTCTCGACCTTATAGGGGCAAACAGGGAAGGGGTAGCTGGGAATTTGAAGGCTGTGGGCAGCCTTGGATGCAGCGACCATGAGATAGTGAAGGAAACGAAAAAACTAAAGCAATAAGTAGAATTGCAACCCTCAACATCAGAAGAGCTACTTTTGACCTCTTCAAGGACCTACTTGGAGGCATCCCATAGGTTAGAACATTGAAAGGGCCCAGAATTGGTTGACATTCAAGCATCCCTTCTTCCAAGCTCAAGATCCTTAAGAAATCAGCCAAAGGTGGCAGGAAACACACAGGAATGAGCAAGAAGATCATAGAAAAAAAAAAAACATGAATGGAAGAAGAATTCTATAGAATGTGGAAAAGTGGTCTGGCAACTTGGGAGGAATACAGGAATATTATCAGGGCCTACAGGAATGCCACAAAGAAGGCTAAGGCCCATTTGGAATTAATTCTAGGGTGGGGGGTCAAGGACAACAAAAAAGGCTTTTTTAAGTATGTCAGTAGCAAAATGATCACAGGGGAAAAAGTGTCCCATTGCTGAATGAGGTGTGTTCCCTGGTAACGGGATGCTGAGATGGCAGAGATACTGGATGTCTTCTTTGTTTCAATCTCTACTGCTAAGTTTGCCCATGAGGAATCCCAGACCCTGGAGTTAGACAGTCTGGGGAAAGGAGGATTTTCACTTGGTCAAGGAGGATGTGGTCAGAGATGATCTAGGCAAAATCAATGCAAATAAATGCAGGGATCCTGATGGGATGCACCCATGAATGCTGAGGGAGCTGGCAGAAGTGATTTCCCACTTTATCATCTTTGAAAAGTCATTGAGAATGGGAGATGTGCCTGCAGAGCCAGTGCCACTCCAGTCTTCAAAAAGGTCAAGAAGGAGGAGTCAGGCACCTACAGCCTCAGCTCCACCTATGGGAATGTGATGGAGGAGCTTATTTTGGATGTTATCTCCTGGCAAGTGGAAGAAAAAGAGTTTATCAGTCAACACAGATTCACTAAGAGGAAATCATGTCAGGTGGATGGGGCCAGGCTCTTCTCAGCAATGCCCAGTGACAGAAAGACACAAACTGGAACATAGGAAGTTCCATACAAACATGAGGAAAATGTTTTTTCACTGTGAGAGTGGCAGCAATGGTATAGGCTGCCCAGAGAGGTTGTGGAGACTCCTTCTCTGGAGTTGTAACCTGCTGTAGGGAACATGCTTTAGCAAGAGATTGGATTGGAAAGGTCCCTTCTAACCCAATGATCCTGTGATTTCTATGATACATATGTGCACATATGTGTGTGGGTAGGTACAGCATCAGGCCTGCATCTAATTTTAACAGAACTGTGCAGGACAGCCCTGCACTTGAGAATGATTTCCCAATGGGAACTACCTTTTGAGCTCTGTCAGGTAACTAGTTGTAGGTCAGTTTTGTCTGCAGTAATTTTTTATTGATGTTCTGTGCCAAGGCTCAATCTCTGAAGGTGATTTTCTCCTCCACAGCCACAAACAGTCCTGTCCTTCCTTCCTCTGTCCTCATCTTGCTCCTTTGAGCCTTCTTGCAGCCTCTGTTTGCAAATCCAGATGGCAGCCCTTATCTGCAGAGAGGGCTGAGAGGAGCAAGACTGAGAGGGGAACAGACAGCAGTATATTTCAGCTTCAGATCCTGAATCTGTATTAAAAGCAGATGGGAAATATGAAAAAGGTAATATCCCATCTGCTTTTAATAGGGGACATGGGATTTGATGCCTGGCAACCTTATTGTGTATGCTCTTGATATTGCATAATGTTATTTTTGATGTTGTGCACTACTGAGCCTTACCCAAGTATAAGCATATTCCATCTACAATAGAAAGAAATTGAATTTGTCTAAGACTTATTTTCTCTAATTAATACCATATCCTCTAACTTTCTACCACTGACCCCAGTACCATCCTGCTGTCTGTTGGTGGTAGGAAGTGCTATTCACATGCTTAACTTTTCCACTAGGCACAGTGTGGCTTACAGTAGTGGTGAACCCTCATTAGGGTTTGCTTCTCTGGGGACATAAGAGTCATTGTTTTGACTTGATTTGTTTGCTAAGTAGTACCATTTTTAGCACAAGTGGGAAATTGTTATCTGCAAGATAAACTAGGCCAAACTTTGAAGATACACAATGTTTTTTTTTATCCAGCTTCACTATTTTCAACAGTGTGCTTCTGTTATGATGCAGGACACCACAAAATGTGGCAGCAAAATCTGTAGGAAGCTTTCCAGTCTGTGGTAGCAAATGTTATCCTTTATGCTATTACATGACATGTTGTAGAGTGTGACATGTGATCTCTCATTCACTGTCTGTTACTGATATCAGATCAAAAGGAGCAACAAGGAGAGCAACGTGAGTTACAATGCGAGTCAGGAGCAAGCTGCAGTTTTTTGGGATAAGGTCACCAGAACGCTATTAGAGGTCTATAGGTTACCAAACACACTATATAAGATAGAATCATCAAATCACTGAGGTTGGAAAAGACCTTTAGGATCACCAAGGCCAACCCCAATCCACTCCCACCATGCTCACTGCCCACAAACCTCAGTGCCACATTGAACACCTCCATGGACGGTGACCACATCACCTCTCTGGGAAAGCTGTGCCACTGCTTCATTGCTCTTTTGGAGAATAAATGTTTCCTGTTATCCAAGCTGACCCTCCTCTGGCACCATTTGAGGCCATCACCTCTTGTCATTGTGGGACGTAAGCAGGGATCACCTAGATGAGAGGATCACCCTGTTCTGTGTGCCAGGAAAGAAGCTTTTCAGCTACATATTTTCAAGCAGAGATGACATTTTCATTGCACTGGAGATTGATCTACTGGTTGGCATTTGGGAAGCTGTTCCTATCTTTCCATCTGGGCATGCTCTTTGAGCAGCAGAGATCAAAGCAAAGCCCGGTGTTTTGTTATAAGGACAAGAGCAGGGCCAGCTTGCAGCTGCATACTCACCATCTCACTAAGGAAAGACCTGGGATGCATATTCAAGAGAATTCTAACTACCAAATGGGAGAACCAGCTCCACACCTACACACACATAGCCGTGTGGGCTCCTCTGCTGCGTTATTTATTGCTCCCCATCAGTCACAGACTTTCTGGGATTACTCATGGCTGACATTTCTGATGCAATAAGGCCACAGATAACTCATGAAATGAAATCAGGGCTTTCCTGTTGGGACATGTAATATCCCCACTGTCTATCTGTCTCTCTTTAGGCAGTACATGCTAGCACAGGCAAGGATAATGGGTCTGGGATTACAAGTCAGGATAAGTATACCTATGCATTTTTCTGTGAAGGAAAAGAGAAATGTTTTCACCTCAGAGTGATGCAAAATCCAGTTGGGATTGAGCAAAATCTCAGATATTCACAGAAGCTGCACTCACACAGGGCCAGCCTTCCTGTGGCTTCAGACTTGTAGCTCCTCTTGCTTCTAGCCAACAACAAAAAGACCATTGCTCAGCAGAGACTGCCTGCAGTTATCACATAACTTTCTCCTTCATTATATATCTGTGTTTAAATATCTGCTGCAATGTATTCACAGACAGGAATCTCTCTCTTGCAAAGTTTTCCTCATATCAGTATGTATATTAAAGTACAAGAGAGTACAGCAACAGAAATATGGGCAAATTTCTGTGGGTGTCTTTATACAGAATCAGAAATACAAAAGCCAGACAGTCTTCCAGATGCCATGTAGTCCCTATCCCCATAGTGGAGCAGGAAACTCACTGATGCCTGATGGAACTTTAACATGTTGCATACGGAAATTTGCAGGCATTAATCTTCCCTTATTAAGAGCTATGTTTAGGGTAGCACGTGAAAGATAATGTCAATAAAGGAATTAACACTGATTGAGACTCGAGCAGTAAAAGTGAAGCAAATTGTCAAGGAACTGCTCATTCAGACAGCAGAACCAATCCAGCGAACTAAGGGAGAAGTCAGCACTCATTGCCTTATCACACAGCATGCACACAAGCAGGCAGTGTTGGAGGTGCAAACTGCATTAATGCTGACAAATCCTGACCCTGGCAACAAACTTTGTGCAGGTTTTAGGCTGGCTGTTGAGTGTAATTGCACAGAGCTTTAAGAAAGCTCTGGAATGGACTGCCCAGGGAGGTGGTGGAGTCACTGACACTGGGGATGTTCAAGGAAAGACTGGATGTTGTGTTGAGGGACATGGTTTAGTGGGAGTTTAGTGGGAGCTATTGGGAATAGGTGAACAGTTGGACTGGATGATCTTTTACGTCTTTTCCAACCTTGGTGATTCTGTGATTCTGTGAAAGGGGGGGGGACTGACAACTTTTTTTTACTTGTGTGGGAATACTGTTTTCCCTCCCAGGGTGGGCAAGGCAGGATGCTGAAAGTCCTAACCCCAGAGCTGCAGCACTGGAGGCTCTATCAGGGCTTTATCTGGAGCACTCAGATGAAGTTAATTTGCTGTAAATATCTTGGGAACATTCCTCAAATACAAATAGCTGAGCCCCCTTTTTGGCCAACATCTCTTATCTTAGCTGGAAGCTTTCCTCAGTGTGCAAGAGCTCGCCATCCCCCAGCGAAGCTACTTAGGAAAGGAAGCTGAAGACAGCTGTGGCTGAACTGGGACCTGCTGGTCAAGCTGAAGAGTGAGAAGAGAATGAATGCCCAGGCAGTGGAAACAGGGACACGTACTGTGGGAAGAGTATCAAGAAGCAGCCAGGCTACATAGAGATGAGGTCAGGAAAGCCAGGGCCCAGCTTGAACTGAACTTGTGATGCTGAGAAGAACAAGAGAGGCTTCTACAGATGCCTCAACCAGAAAAGGGAAGTCCAGGAGTGCGTGCCCACCCTAGTGAGTGACACAGGCAAGATGGTAATAACAGACAAGGAGAAGGCTGAAGTACTTAACAACTTTTTTGCCTCGATCTGTGATGACTGCTCACCACACAGCCCTCAAATGTTTGCTTTGGTAGGATGGGGCTGGGGGAGCAACATCCCTCCTACTATAAGTGAAGATTATGACCACCTGAGGAACATGAACATCCACAAGGTTGTGGGTCCTGATGACAGTGCATGTCCCTGTTCATTGCAGGGAGTTAGGCTAGATGGTTTTTAAAGGTCCCTTCCAACTGTAAGGATTCTATGATTCTATTCAGCCACCTAGTTAAATTATGGAACACATGGATAAATTTTCTGTGAAACCTATAAGGTTTCCAGTCAGATGACTGGGATTCTGTAGTGGGCTGTTGTAGGAGTGATGGCATGAGAAGCCTAATGGGATTAAAGTGGATGCTAACCACATATAAACGGTGTTATACCATATAAGAAGTCATGATTGTATTGTATTGTAGGAATCAAGATGAATTTCAGCGTTTTGTTCTTAATTCCTAACTCTTTTCAAACTGGTAAACAGCAGTTCAAGGATCTGCCAACAAGAGGTACACACCATGGAATCACAGAACCATAGAGGTTGGAAGGGATCTCAGGGGATCAACAAGTCCAACCTCTGCTGGAGCAGGTTCCCTATGGGAGGTTGCCTATTTCAGACATATTTATGTGCAGATTGCCTGTAGTGCACAGTACAGAAACCGGCTGGATACAGTGGTGTCTGTCCATAAAACTGAGTGCTTGACTTGGGGGAAAAAGAAAATGGGGTCAGAGTAGTCTGTCCTTTTGTATGCAATCCTTGTGTGAAACCAGTGTTTCCCTTGGAAGTTTTCAAAGGAATCCCTGTAATATCCCTTTGGACGACAGTCATGGGGCTTGATGTTGCCACTCCAAATCAGATAATAACAGTTTTTCATCAGACTGGAATTCAAGTTTTACCCACACTGTAGCTGTGATGGAGACCACAGCTTGCGGCAGCTGTAGACTTCCAAAAACCAATCAGCTCCTCTGAGAAGGGAGCAGGAGGGAGGAAGGGGGAAGGGAGAGCAGAGGTGAGGAAACCGCTGTCAGCAAAGAGGCAGGTCTCTGTGAGAGGAAGAAGGGATTTATTGCCATACATTCTCTGCAACAATATGGATCTTTGAGGGTTTTTAATCATTTAAAAATAAAGGGGATCAGTCCAAAGGGAGACTTCACTGATTCTCTGCTTTTCTCCAAGAGGCTATAGCTGTTGGGATCAGCTCAAGAGTACACCTGAGAGCCAGGAGGATACCCATCAGCTTTCTCAGAGACTGGAAAGAGACCTGATCCCAGGTCAGGCACTCTGTGCTGGCTGCTTGGCTTACATCACACACCTATGTGATTTCCCCTTTAACCATTAATGGAGCCTGTGGTAAAATCTACTCCTCTGATCATTTCCGTGGTGTGAATGCACAGCACAGCTAAGTCTCTGAGGGGTCCATCCTGTCCCCATTCTGACTTGTTTAAGGCCTCTACTGGTAGAGCTGGGCTGGTGTGACATGACAGTGAGTGACAGCTGTGTTGGCTCTGAGGTCAATCCGTGTCACTGTCACATCATACTCTTGACATCGCATGGAAAAGGGAGACAAATTCTTCCACATGCTTTGTTAGCAGGAGCCTGGTGAGCAAAGGGTTAAGTGGCTTTGGTTTCTGTGTCTTTGTAGGGATGTGTGTACATATATATATATATGGATATGGGTATATATATATACAGCCCTCAGTTTGGCTGTAGGACCTCGCGCCCGCAGGCCACAGTCACATTATCATCTGGAAATTGGATAACGACAGCACAATGACAAATCCAGGTTGCTTGCAATAAGGTGCTAATCCCTTTGCTTTAATATCGGAGCAGCGTGTAATGATGTTTGGACATCACTCCAGTTTACTGACGACCCCACTGGGGCCAGCAATAGAAGCGTACAACTGTCTAACAAGCCGTCAGGTGACCGCCGTCGTCAAAGCAACGGATGGTGCAATCTAATCTTCCCTCCATCCCTTCCAGCTCCCAATAAGGGCCAGATTATAGAAGTGGCCCATCAGTGCTTGGTAACTCGAATCAATTAACGTTAATTCGCACAATGCTATGATGTATTGTGATCACTTTCATTTCAGAGAAGGGGGAAGAAATTGCTATAATTCACCTAAAATGAGGTTGTCTATGGTGCTGAGGTATTAATTGGGTGTCCATATTAAATGGAAAAGGAGCATGGTAGTGAAGGAAAAGTGGATGAGTGACTCTCTTGGCTGCTATTGACCTATCAGAAGAAGACAGTGCCCTTTTCCTTTGCTTTTATCTATTACAGTTTTCCCTATTGCGTGTCAAGTTGATGTATTATAAAAAATTCATTTGGTGACCTTTCACCCCCCTAGCAGATTAAACAATTTCACTGGGATGGCATCATTAACAGGGCCTTGCATTTAATGATGATTTCTCTAAAAGGCCACGGAGATTCGATTTTAAGCTAACAGATTTATTGCACTATTATAACATATCGTAAAAAACTGTACCACCTACGGTCTGGTTTTAGGATAGAAACTGTTTAAGAGTTTATGTGGAGCTTAAAGTGATATTACCTTGGGATATGCAGCAGCAGCGAAGCTCTGACCTCCGGCATGATGCTGCTTACATTCAATAAAAGACATTCCTCTGACAGAAAGCTTTGGGAGCGTGTTATGGAAGAGACCTGGCTTAGCTCCTCACCACGAGCAGATAGAGTTCTGAGCACAGGTATTTCCACTCAGCTCCAGTGATTAATGGAAGCTGCTAATGAAGTTGGAGAGTGTTTCCTTTCTGTTGGATGGACTGGTTCTGAAGGGTCCTCTCATCCCACCATACCCTTGAGTGGACCCAATAGGGTCCTCCTGCCTCTTTTTTTAGGATGACTTCTCATTGCTCCAGCCCGTAGGACCCTGCCAGTTGCCTCCACCAGGCAGCTGCTCACCTTCAGCCTTTGGTGTCACTGGGATCATAAAGTGGAAAAGGAAAGCTATCTGAGCAGGGAGGAAGGTTGTCCTAATGTGGGAGACATTTCTGGATGTTCCTGGGCCACTTTTTCAGAACTTGTTCAGTCTAACCAACTTATCTGATGCTTTCAACTGCCACAAAATATCCAGCTTGTAATGAAGGCATCTTTGCTTCAAGAAATGAATGCCATCCAAATGATTAGATAGGGAAGCATATTCCTCTTGCCCAGCCTTGCCCACAGCTCATTTGTTTCTTACCCCAGTTCATCACCAAGTCAGGCCCCATTGCTATGTCTCCACATGCATTTAGGGGCTCAGGTTTTTGAATTTAGGTCTTACTGGCTCAGCCTACGTGTAACAAGGGAGACATCAGCAACCATGAGTTCTTTTCTGCCCAACAGCCCCACCCTCATAGACATGATCAATATAACTTTGTTTACTTGTTTATTAGGGAAAGCTGAAACCTGCTTTCCACTGTTGCTTCTGTTTTTGTCTATGACATGGGAAATCATGGGAATCTGCTGAAACATCCAGCAGAAGCGGCCCAGGCACTTCGTGTATGGCCAACCTCATCACCATAAGACAACAGAGGACACTTCTCCAAAAGGCAAAACTACTCACAGCCATTCCAGTGAATCTGCACCTCCTTTGCTGTATAGAAGTCCTCAGACTGTGTGCCTTTTCACTATAGCAGCATCTTCCTTGGCCCTGCCACCTCCTTTCAGGAACAAAATAAAAACCTCTTGGCTTTACCAAGCGATGCATCTTGATGTTATCAGTACCAAAAATTCTTCCCAAACTCCTTCCACTTTCAAAGGTGTATACTGATGCCAGGCTACTAGTACTGCAGGCATATCCAGACAGTAGTTTAATTAAATTGCCTGTGTTTATGAGTAAATTAAATATGCAAGGGAGCATGCTGTGTCAATAAGTTCAGATTATATGGATCAGCCCATGTCCCTAAAATTAAATCCTTTCACACATCATTTCAGAGTAGCCCCAACCAAACTGCCTGGGTCTGTCTCTGGCTAGCTTCTAAACCATCTGGGAGTTGTCTTAGGCTTTGTTGTTGCCAGGACCAGAGTCTGTGACGGGCTGTCAGTCTGTCATGCCTTGACACCTGCAGTAGATGCTCTAATTTGTAACATCTCTAACTTCCTTGCTACTGAACAATTGGACTTGGTGATCACAGAGGTCTTTACCCACCCAAATGATTCTATGATTCCAAGGAGCAGAGGCGTGCTTTCTTGCAGAACCTCAGCATCTTCATTAGACCTCAGCCCTGATGGTAGAAGGTTTAGGAGCCTGACCCTGACGTTACTGCTGACCCATGTATCTTGAGCAGTGCCTGCTTGCTTGCCGCCTTTAGGAGAGCTGCAAGGCACTGAGCAGCCGAGCTGCTTGCTGTCAAGTGCTGTCAGCAGGGAATTTCAGACCAGCCTGCTCCTTACCAGTGAGACTTCAGGGTGGTGACAAAACAGCATGCTCTTCGTGTCCATCATGAGGAAGGCAGATTTCCTTGCTCCAGCCCTTCTGAGGCACAGCAATTTCCCATCTCCCAGAGCCAGAGCTGTGCCAAGAAAACCTATTTTCCTAGCAGCAGAAATCAACAGGGAAGCAGCAGGATGCTCTGGTCTTCCACACCAATACCCGAACACGGGAGAGTGACTAGCTGCACACAGGGCTGCACCCTGAGGCAGGGGCTCCCTCACAGCAGGAATAACATTGGG